TAACGACTGAGCCACCCAGGCGCCCAACTTAAAATGTATTCAGCACCTAGTATATATAAGGCACTGTTGTAGACCTTGAAGATACAAAGTTATATAAAGCATAAGCCCTACTCTATACTTTCTTAATAGTCTAATGTATAAAACATGGAGGGAAACAATCTCAATATGACTAGATGAAGACTAATAAATGTATCTACATAAAGAAAGACTGATTAGGGGTGCCTGGGTGGCTCAGTCGGTTAAGTGTCTGCCTTGGGCTCAGGTCATGATCCCGGGGTCCTGGGATCGAGCCCCACACTGGGCTCCCTGCTCAGTGAGAAGTCTGCTTCTCCCTCTCTCTCTGCCCTTCCCCTGCTTGTACTCTCTCTCTCTCTCTCTCTCAAACAAATAAATAAAATCTTAAAAAAAAAGGAAAGAAAAACGGATTAACTGACATATTATGATTCATCTTATCTATTTCTCTTACCAATATAAAAGAATAAGGAACAAAAATCTTCATTTTAAACAATAAATATAGTAGAGTCATATTACCATTTGTTTTCCACAGGCCACCCACAGGCCTTGGCAGGAGGGATTGAAAAAATATAAATGTAATAAGAAATAAACATTTGCATATTTTAATGGAGATTTTGTAACTAATCAACTGTAGCTGGTTTTTTTTAAAAGATTTTATTTATTTATTTGAGAGAGAGAGAACGAGCAGTGTGGAGGGGCAGAGTGAGAGAGAGAAAGAAAAGCAGACTCCCTACTGAGCAGAGAGCCTGATGTGGGGCTCGATCCCAGGAACCAGAGATCACAACCCCAGCCAAAGGCAGACACTTAACTGACTGAGCCACCCAGGCACCCCTGTGGCTGTTTTTATAATACAGTATATATTTTTTAAGTTGTTTTTTTTTTAACAGAACAATACAGTATTATGTGCCTTTTAACCGTGTTTTATGTTACTAGACAGGAAGTGAAAATACTGAACTCTCAAGTTCAAGGGTTCATGGTTGACACTGGGATCATTAAAAACGAACAACAGTATGTAGATGAAAAATCATGATCACCTGTTCTCTGTTCCAAACTTCATAATGAACAGAGCTGGTTCTGATATGTCCTTCATTAACATGTCCCTCTTCAGAAGAAGAGGATTTTCAATGGGTCATTATAACCGGATGTAACAATAACCTGGTGATAGCTATTTCTGTACTCCTCTCATTTTCTTCTTTCCTTTGTCTCCCTGCATAACTGACATGGAAGAGTTTGTGGTGCACTATTTATTTAGAATAAATCTCCAGAATGCATGGGCAGATGATATCTCCTGAAACTACCTATTGTTTCCCTGCTTAAGATAAAAGTCCCGATAGAATCTGTGGAGCTGCATTACTTAGCAACCACTTAAAACAGTAAGGGTGCCTTCTTGGGAGCCTTCCGAAGCTTCTAGATCACTGACAAAATGACTTAGGTAATTATAATTGCTAAAGGAGGAAAAAGTACACGTGGCTCCACTTTAGGGAGGGCATCTTTACATATAATTTAAGTGAGTCTTGGGTTTAAGAGCAGAATATAAATACTTAACTTAGTAGGAAAAATATTTTTGTGGTTATGGGCAGTACGCCTTAACTACCTGCCAATAAGCCAAACATTTTTCTCCCTTACTTCTTCCTATCTCTCCCTCATCTGCTTTGGACATAAAAGTGGCATTGATCAATTTCCAGTCATGTCTTATTTAAATTTAGATTACTCCCTGAAAAGAGGAGACAAAAATGCAATTACTTGTTCTGGTTTAGGTGGTAAACCACTTGGTAATGCTAGAGGTTATAATTTCTTTTTTTTTAAAGACTTCTTTGTTTTTTTTAAAAAGATTTTATTTATTTATTTATTTATTTGAGAGAGAGAGAGAGAGCGCCCGAGTAGGGAGGAGGAGTAGAGGGGGAGGGAGAAGCAGACTCCCCGCTGATCAGGGAGCCTGATGTGGGGCTCGATCTCAGGAACCCAGGATCATGACCAGAGCCAAAAGAAGATGCAGAGGGCTAGAGAGAGGCAGAGAAGCAGAGTCCCCACTGAGTGTAGAGCCTGATGCGGGTCTCGATCACAGAACCATGAGATCATGACCTGAGCCAAAACCAAGAGTCACAGGCTTAACTGACTCAGCCACCCAGGTGCCCCTACAAGTTATAATTTCAAACTTATAAACTGACAGATGCAGTAAATGTGATAGCTAACTTTTTTTATAGTAACAGCTAAGAGTTGCTGATTGTGAACTGTGTTCCAAGCAATGTGATAAAAGCCCTTTATATGTTTAATCTCATTTAGTCTCTCAACATAATACCACGTTGTAGGTAATATAACCATTTTACAGAATAGGAAACCTCATCTCAGGTGGATTAAAGTTACCATGACATAGCTTATAAATGGCAGGATCCAAACTTAACAGTTAGTATCTAACTTCAAAGCTGTAACTCTAAACCACTCAGCCATTTTCCTATACATGGAAACTCCCCAGATTCATTGTCACACTAATTCACTATATTATTATTAGTTATAATCATGACTTTTCTTTCAACAGACAATTACTAAGTGTCAGTTATGTGCTACTCTGGAAGAAAAGCAAATCAAATCCTGTACAACCCTCAAAGAGTCACAAAAAGTGGAAAAAGGTATAGAGATGAGCACACTGTAATTTCAAAACCTACTAGCCAAGCAGTAGTACCCACATTGCAGAAGACACCCCTGACTGCGGATATCCATGAACACAGACGGTGCTCGAAAGGAGAAGAAATGCCCTCTCTCCTTTGTGCGGCAGTGCGGTGGTTTGTAAGTGGCTAAAATCCTCTAGAGCGAGGCTGTCTGCATACAAATGCCAGTCCTGCCAACTGTAGCTCTACAGCCTTGGGAGAGTCCTGTGTTGGTGTGTCTCCAGCTGTGAAGAAAGGAATAAAAGCAGCACCGACTTGATCTGGCAGGCGCCTGGGTGGCTCAGTCGGTTAAGAGTCCGCCTTCGGCTCAGGTCATGATCCCAAGGTCTCGGGATCGAGCCCCCCATCGTGCTCCCTGCTCTGCGGGGAGCCTGCTTCTCCTTCTCCCTCTGCCTCTCCTCCCTGCTTGTGCTCCCTCTTAAATGAATAAATAAAATCTAAAAAAAAAAAAAAAGCACCGACTTTACAGGGGGTGTTGTGAGGGTTATTATATCTATTGCTTAGACTAGCCCCTGGCATGTAAGTGTTAGCCATTACTGATGTGAATGTTCAAACCTACTCCTTTTCTAACTAGTATTTATGAGTTTTGATTCTTCCCTCAACTACCACATAGTACTTGGGTCTCACTAAACTTTGTCCTGTTTATTTATTATTCTTGGTTGGGGAGGGCTATTCATTTTCTGACGCTCTAGCCATTCCTACCCTTTCCTAGAAAATCTTACCCATTTCGCCTTATATATTCTCATTCAAAATTTTTTTTTTTTTAGAGAAAGAGCAAGCAAGCAGGAAGGGGGAGAGGCAGAGGGAGAGGGAGCGAGGAGAAAGAATCTTAAGCAGCTTCCACATGGGGCTTGATCTCATGACCCTGAGATCATGACCTGAGCCAAAATCAAAAGTCGGACTCTTAACTGACTGAGCCATCCAGGCGCCCCTATTCTTATTCAATTTAAGAGTCTCAGTCCTCTTCCTTAGGTTCTACAAGCCTACCATCCTGATTGCCAGACAAAGGATGGCTGTAGTCGGAACAGAAACTCTTTTGGAAGAAAGAATAAGGCCAGAGGGTTGGTTATATGAGGACATAAACTTCCTGGGCATATTTGCTTAACTCCTTCCTTGTATCAGGTCATGCTAAAACACTTTTGCTTGTCGGTTCCACAACTAGGTAACAGAGTTGATACCCGTGGAGAGAGAAAGTGTCTCTTCTCTTTTTTTCAACTTGCTATAGAAAATGTTGAAGAACATGAGGTCCAGGAGAGATCCCTGTGTAATACAATAGGAAAACCAAAGTTGTCACAGACCACGATACGTGGATTTAGAAGAGCACCTGGCCATTCCTCATTTTTAAATACTGATAATATGAGTTGTAGTTTCTGTACCTGGGTAGACATCAGAATTACCTGGTATGCTTGCTAAAGACATAGAGTATTCCTTGCTCTCCACCTCTCCTACCCTCCTTCTCACCTCTACCTCCAATAACCTGATCCATTAAGTCAGAGGTAAGAACTTGGAATCTGTATTTTTCATAACACTGGGAATCAGTGCCTAAGATGATTTATACATGTATTCGTGAGACATGGACTTGATAATTTAGTAATAATAAAACTCTTATTTTTCTAAATTGACATTGAAAATGATCTTATTTGAAAAGAAGATCCAATTTCACTTAATAGCCTGCTTTCCTGAGTTCTGTTGAAGTCAGATGGGGAGAAAGGGTTAAGAGTAATCAGTCATTTTTAGCTTGTTAGACTTAAAGAATCAGAATTTTCAAGCTGGAAGAGATACTAAACATATACTCAGATTTCTTCATTTTGCAGATAGGGAAGCAACTCCTTCCGCATAATGAAAGACTGGTGAGAACACTGAGCTCCACAGACATCATGACCTCCCAAAGCAATACTGTTAACTAGAACAAAATTCTCAATTTCCACAATACTTGATGGTTCCTTTATTTCTTTAATAATCACCCAAGTGGCTTGGATCTGCTTCTCACTTTTTTTATTTTAATTTTTTTAATTGAAGCACAGTCAACACACAATGCTACATTAGTTTCAAGTGACTTTTTCCTCATTTTATGGCATTTAAGCTAACCAAACTAAGTGGATTTGTTTTTTTAACAAACAAACAAACAAACATGGGCATAGTAACTGTATGCAGCATCCTGCTCATCACATACCTCTTAGAACCACATTTTGAGAATTAAATGAAATCTTACCTTTAAGAGGCACCTTGACATCAAGGCCATAGAATAAAGGCAAGAGAGAAGAACAAGAATAGAAACAGAAACTGCAGAAGAAAAAGAAGAAGATTATGTAAATCTGAATTTCTATACTGTCATTCATGTCGTACAAAACCTCAAGCTTTTCCACTTTGCTCAAGTCTGACCACTTGTCACATACACACCAAGTACCTTCTGTTTAAAAAAAAACTATATTTTACTTATCTATTGGCAAAGTAATGTGATGAAAACCCGGTGTCAACTAACATCAGCTCATACATTTTGGAATTCTGAGGGGGTCTAATAGATAATGGATTTAAGCCTGTAACTTTATAAATGAAAAAAATAAGCACCGAACAGTTAGTCAATAGTCTAATTGCCTGTAATTTTATGGCATAATAAAGCCTGGAGGTTCGCCCTCCTGAGTCCTACTTCAGCCCATATTATTGTCGCCTTTTTAATGTGTGGCAGGGCCTACCAAAAATACAAAAATATGATCAGAGCATACACTTAATCACGTAAGGCTATCACTGTTTGGTTAATGTGACAGGTTTTAGGAGTAAGGCAGAGCAGGAGGAATATTAATATGTAAGGTAAACATACGATAAATGATCCACCGTGGGATATTTCTGAAGTAGAAATGGGGCACTATTAGTAATTACATCAGGGTAGCAGGCATAACCTGGGTCTGCCCTGGATGAGTGAGGATCTATAGTATAAAACGTGCTTGGACATCAGAGGACACTTTGGAAAATGAATGCATGATGCTGTTCAAATCTCCATGCTTCTCAGAGAGTTCTCTCCTTTTTGACTCATAGAAGTTAAACGGAGACTGATTTGTCTCTCTTCTCTGAGAACCTTCAACAAGACACGGATACCTGGGGGGACAGACATGCTTATGTAGCAATGGTATATAACCAACTGCCTACGAATTATTAAAGGTCACAAGTCAGATCGTTTTGTTTTGTTTTTTCCCAAATATCAATTTCCTTGGTGATTGACTCTTACAGAGTCCGTCTTTAACCTTGTTATCACACTTCGGGAGCATTCTGTTGGCCACGACATCTTTGAATAAGGGTTGTCTACGGTATTCTCATGTTGAGCACATTATCTGCATGTGTCCTGTAATGCCATAGTTTATAGGACTCTTGCTTAACTGTAGCAAAATTGCACGGTCAAGTTCTAAACATGGTGCCAGGAGCCATGTATTGGTGACTGTTCTATTAGTCTGGAAAGCAGAAACTCTGACCTTTTTTTCCCACTCCTTGAAGACGGAGAGTGGTAAAATGACGCCCGTAGCTGGAGAAGATGGAGGGAATGGGAGGCTTCCGCTACTCCTCTGAGGAGGTCAGCTACCGGCGCTACCTCTCAGGGCATCGGGAGACGCCGATCACCTCACTGGCAATGAGATTCTTTGTCCGGGCAGTGTGGTGGGCAAGTGTAGCACCTAGCGTCAGACACCCTGACCTCTGGGCTTGATTTGCCACGGACTGGTTCTACGGTCCTGGGCAGGTTGTTTAATCTCTCTGGACTGTTGTTTTATTATCTGCATAAAAGGGGATCCGAGTATCTGCCGTGCCCGACTCACAGAGTAACTCTGCATGGGAGCCCATGAAGCCAGTGACCGTGGGAGTGCTCGGGATGAGGCACCGCTGAACGGCTGGGGCAGTGCTGTCTATGGTTGTCATGTGACGTGCACTGTGTGCGTGGGGGTTAGGGACACAGAAGGTATCTCAGGTCCCCTCAGTAGGTGTTCAAGTACCCCAGGAGAAGAAAGAGGCGTATTTCTGACATAGGTGATCTTTAGCATTTTTTCTAGGCTTGTGTGTGAGAATCAAGGTCAAGGGAATAGAAGGTGTGTCACAAACCTCATCTCTCATTCAAATCTCCAGTCAGAAACCAACCGGTTGTTTTGAAGTGGCTTAGTTTACTATTATATGTGGAATATGCTGCTTTGATAGCTGAAGAATCCTTGTTTGCCATTACGTACATTACCCCATCATCAAAAATGTTTAAGAAGTTCAGATCTGTGACATGACAAATTCAGGAAATTCTGACAGGGAACATAGTCTTAATCTCCCTCCTCCTAAAATTTCCATGAGGTTTCTTAAGAAAATGCCTAGGGGAGTGACATTAATAGATAATTTAAAAAATCCACCCCCTTTTCAGTTTGTTTTTCCTTAGATGAATGGGGGCTGAACCAAACTAAAGTTTCTGGTTTTAATTCTGACTTCCTCCTTCAGTCAGTACAGAAAATGACTAGAACCAAGAGTTAGCCATTCAAAAATGTGGAAAATGGAAGATATCAGGCATGTGCTTTGACAAGCAGGGAAGCTGGGAACAATCCTGGCCTCCTGTGGGTCTTCCTGCCAAACCCTGGGAAGTCAGACTCGGTCCGTGGCACTTTACCTTTGCCTCATTCAGTCCCATAGCGCTAAATAGCACACTTCGGAAATGAGAACCGTTCAAATTTAAAATTTTGAAGAGGATGTGTACTTTCTGTTTGGAAATTTTAAAAAGTACACTTTTTAATCGAACACCTCAGAGTTTTGTCATTTTCACATAAGTGACTTCATTGGCTCTTCATGGAACCCATGAGAGGAGGTAAGGGCAAGCTTTATCATCCCTATTTTATCGGTAAGGCTTAGACACAAGTCTAAGTCACATACCAAGGTCAAATAGATATGGAAAGACCCAGCCTACATAAGAATCCAGGTGCTGATGGTCTGGCTACTGGCCCCTACCGACTCCCTGTGATCTCACACTTAGGGAGAACTCAGAAGCAACCAGGATGAATAAAATCCTAACCATGTCTCAGAAACGGCAGATGGTTTGCTGTTTTCGTCTTGGGTACCCACGGGAGATGCTAGAAAATAGCTATACTCTTTTGCAGCACAGGAACTCACACTGGAACTCTAGAGAAGCCTCTTGCCATCCTTGCTGTGTTCCTAGCACTGGTGCTCCGGGCATCACGGGTGGGAGAATTCTTTGTTGTGTGAGACTGTTTGCCTCACTGCAGCTTGTTCGGCACCCCTGTGTGAGCCCTCTCCCTTCTCCCGCCATGCACATTCCCAAACGCCCTCTTTGAGAACTACTGTGCTTTGCACATTCCCAAACGCCCTCTTTGAGAACTACTGTGCTTTACTCCCGAAAGTGTTGCTTGACTTGGAGGACTCTCTCCGGCCACTGGGGGAAGTGACATGGGGGCATAATTACCACGTGTCAACCTAAGTTTCTGGACTTACTGTTGAAGGGACACTGCAGCTCAAGGAAAAAAGGGCTTTTTGTGAAGAATAACCAGAATGATTTTTTTTTTTCAAAAAGGTACCAAAAAGATTTTTAAAAGAAAGAGCAAAGTAGAGTCACAAAACTCAAAAGAAACTTTTAGAAAGGAAGCGAAGGTAAGAAAGGGGAAACTGAGGAAAGAAAACACACGTAGAAAAGAACAGAAAGCAACACAAAAGGCAAACACGTCCAGGCGAGGCTGCTGAAGGCAGAACCTTTGCTGGAACGCGGGTGTCTGCCTGGTGGTGAAGGTCATGTTGACTCTCACTACACCTGCCTGTGATACACAGTGTAACTGAGAAGAAATGAAACGCAGGGAGTGAAACTCCTATTATTTTCTGATCTAAAACTTAAAGACTGAAATTCATATTGAATTGAACACGTACCTTTTCTTCTAAATCCTTTATCTGTCGTTTCTGGATGTCTGTTTTATCTTCTAAGTCACGAATTCTCTGAAGAAAGAAAAAAAAACCCAAAGAATTAGTGGGCGTTAACAAGAAGACTGTTCACCAGCCTAAAACACAGAACTGGCCATGAAAACGCTAACATTAGTACTTGCGGCTGGAAATATCACAAATACGTTTTTCCATCTCCGGGAGATTGTCTGGATGTTTCAAGAATCACGCTCACTTGCGGTGCAAAAGCACTGTGCTAACTATACATATATTTTAAAATCTGCTGCCCCTGTCTATTGCACCCATCCCCCCAGACTCTATCCCCGTGAGAGATGGGTAGGTCTCACCCCACTGCCCTTGGGCTTGGCCATGAAACCTGTTTGACCAGTGGAATGTGAGCAGGAGTGAGAAGTGGGAATGCCACTTCCTCGTAGAGACAGCAGTATGTCCCAGAACTAGTGAGCAAGAAACCAACTTCATCGTAGCCATTTGGATTAGGATTTTTGGTTGTTTATTACCATAGTAAAAAATGGCTGAAGGTGACACACAGAAATGTAAACAATCCCGTTGTTTTTTGCTACCCTTTCTTTCCAACCTTATTTCAACTCTGCTTCGGGGTGGAATTTCATCACAAAACAGGATTTGCCAGTTCTCATAAAACCAAACACTTCACCAAACATTCCAAGGAGGGAAGTGAATAAATTAGAGGAAAACTAAACATAGCAAAAATAGCACAAGTAAGCCTAAAGACAAAAATGTTAGTTCCGGAACTGTCTCTGAACTTACCTGTCAACTATATAACAAAATTCCAGCAATTTAAATAGCACAGATTTAAAACCAACATTACATAGACAATTATTTGCAAGTGAAAAATAGTCTTCCAATTTCGATCTGGCAATCTAAAGGCCTTTTAGGTTCACGGCATATGGGTATACAGTGTAGGCTGGTTATTTTAACACCTCTTTTGGGAATAATCAGAAAATGGGGAATTGGAGTCTGAGAAGAAAACAGTGGAAGCTAAATGGGGTGATAATACAGAAAGAGAGGTTTTTATAATGCAATGTAGGGAGAAAAAGGGAAAGCTAGAACAAAGAATACCTGAACTTGAAAATCCTATCTCCCTTTTCTCTGAAACATTGGTTCTCAGCTGAGGATGACTCTGCCCCTCAGGGGACATTTGGCAATGTCTGAACATCTTTTCAAGTTAGTTAATTTAATATGAAGTATACAATTCAGTGGTTTTAAAATATTCACAAGGTGGTGCAACCATCATCACTATCTGATTGTCTGGACATTTTTGAATCACATCTGGGACAGTAATGGTCAGTAATCACATCTGGGACGGGGGCTGCAACTAGCATCTAATGGGCAGAGCCCAGGACGATACACAGGACAGCCCCCTACCACAATTATCTGACCAAATGCAGGGAGTGAAGAGACTGAGGAGTCTGCTTTAAAGGGAAGGGATAGATGTGTGTGCAGGAGAGGATGAGGAGTTGGTCAGAGAGACGATCGAGGCTGACCTTGAAATTAGAGGACAATGAATGCTGGGTAAGAGAATGGGCCTGGAAGCTAATGGTGTGGGTACATGGGAGTGATGTGTGTGCTTGTGTATATTTCCAGGCGCCAAAGCTACACAATAAAAGAATAAATTTGCTAGACATTTCCACCTTGAGTGTGCACATAATTCCTTGATATGTCTACTGGATGTGGAGGCAAGTATTATATCAATAAAATCATGGACCTGTAAGATTACTGCAGGGTCTCTTCAGCCATCAAGTGTCTGCTTGTTGGGCAACTTCCCACAGAGGACAGGACTTTGCTGAATGTAATGGAGGGTCCAGACACCACTGAGTTCTTGATCTCAAAGAACCATTCCGATCAGATGGGGAGACAAAGTTTGAAACACAGGGAAACCCAGCTCAAGTAGAAAAGGTAAACGATGGCAAAACCATGTTTAACTTCATCACCAATCTCTAGTAACCAGGGCAGTGTTGAGTACAAAGAAGCTGCCTCTACGTGTTGATTATGAGTTACTTCAGCTAATGTGTGCCGCATGTTCTATTTCTTTTTCCTTCCCATCTGCTTGCCATCCAATCCAAGGGGGATCCCTGTCAGATCCAAATCAGATCCCTTTTCTGCCTGGCTTATCTGTACTGCTAGTAAGTCCACCAAGTCACTCTTGTTGGCATCAGTACTGGTGTGACAGCTTGCAGCCAGCCCTCCCTGCTTCTAATTTAGTACATCCGTCTACAGCAGCTGTGTGCACTCCCAACACATGAAATCACCAGGGCAGTCCCTGAGTTTAAGGGGGAGAGGAGGAGGGGTAAGAATAAGGAAGATGCAGCTAAGCTGCACTCAGAAATAAGCCCAACTCCTTCAAGGTCCAACATGATTTAGGCCTTGTCTTACCGCTCCAACTTCACCTCATGTCCACTTCCTCTTGGCTCTCTCTGCTCCATTTTTATGGCCTTCTCTCTTGTTTCTTGAATATTCCAAATGTTCCCACAGTAGAGACTTAGACTCTGTTGTCCCTATCTTCGGGGACACTTAGCCAAGATCTTTGTGTGGCTGGTCCCTGGGATTTTAGACATCTTCGGAGAGGCCTGGTCTGACTAGCCAGTCTAAAGAGGTGAATCCTCTATTCCTAGATTCACACACACATTGTATACTTTTCTTCATAGTACTCATGGACACTCTCTACATTGCCTTGGTCATTGTTTTTTGTGTTGTTGCTTTGACCCCTTTCATCTGTAGTATAGATGAGAACAGTGACCTTTACGTCTTTGTCCACTGTCACATTCCTAGTCTCTGGCACAAGCTGGCCCTCAATATGGGTGTGAAAGAATGTGTAACAGGGTACGCAGTATAGATTTTTTTTTTCAATAGTCTGTACTCCATTATTATCAGGGAGAACATCCTAAGGGAAACAGATCTTAAACTGGGACTGGAAAAAATGAGAACATTTGGATAAATGAAGCAGACATGGAAGGGCATTTTAGGGTGAGTGATCAGGCAAACAAAGGCTTAGAGGTGGGGGTCATGGCCCAAGTGGTACCAGGAAGAGGTCTGCATGAGTAGTGAGGAAGGTATGCTCTGCAGACTGTCTCAGGTCAGCTTTCCAGGGAAGGGGTAAGCCAGCTAATGAAGGACCTGGAGAGACCGCATAGGACCAGACTCAACTGGAAATTGGGATCATGGAGGCTTCTGAGGAAGAATGTACCATCGGAAAAGGTGAAAGAATCTGCAGTGATTCGCACGATGGACAAAGGAGAGGAGAGCTGGAAGTCTTCCCCACAAGTGAGTCCCCAAGGCACACTGCTTATGATTTTTTATACCCCTTGTCAAAAGATATCAATTAGAGTTATTTTTCTTTGAATTAGTCTCCTGTGACTCCATCACTAGGTCCTAAGCTTTGTAAAGGCAGGGTCTATGTGAATTCTCTATGGCATGGTGTTCAAAGTCTAGGAGGTGCATTTAAACATGTGACAGAACAAATGCATAGAGGATGGAGCCGGGTTACAGCAGAGGACATTTGGCAGAAGCTGGGCCTGCTGCAGTATTGAGAGGTCCTGTAGATGCCTGACGTTACAAGTGTGGAAAAAATGCAACAGCTTCAAAAACATTTCAGGGGAAATGCTCAGATGGATGTAGTGCTATATTAACTCCTGGAGATGAAAGACCAAGAAGACTCCAGGGTTTCCAGCCTGAGTGCTTTGGGATATGGTAATTCTACTGACCAAGGCAGGCAGCCGGGGAAAGACGGGAGAAGTAAGGATAAGAATGTTTAGATCTGTTTCATATGTGAAACATTCAAACAGAAATGTCCCATGAATAGTTAGTGATATGCTGCTCTACAATTTACCTGGATCATATACTGATATATGACAAATTCTGGCCAAGACCTTCTGGAATAATTCTCTCAAATCAGAACTACTGATTACAATGGCAGGCAAAGAGTAAGAAATAATAACTAGAAAAGGCATTTTCTAGTGAACATTTGTTTGAGAGATAGAGAATTTCAGTGGGAATCTCTGAGGCTTAGAAATATAACATAACCATCTGTTCAGACTGATAACTTAAAGCAAACAAAACCATGTCTTTTGGGAGTGAATCACCTTAGCTGGTTAAAGACTCAAAAGAGATGACAGCTTTTAATCTAAATAAATTCAGATAATTATTTGTACATCTTAGAAATAAACACTGCTGTGGTTCCATGGTACAACTCCTGATTTGTTGAAATTAATTAAATGCTACTGTAGCATAAGAAATTTATGCAGAGGACACTTTCATTCCCCAACTAATGATGCCAGGGAGTCTATTATTAAAGGATTTAAAAACCCTTTGCAGGGTCAAAACCCTGAACTTTATGATGGAATCTGAAGGGCCACTGAAACAAACATGCATGCATTCACCATCTCCAGGACAAACGGCTTCAGAGTTCCCCTGCTGACTTGAATAATCTGTCCGACTATAAAGATTCACAGAACTCCTGGCTACATAGGGGGTATGCTAAGTGTCATATTCCCCATAAACCGTTCTTATTGGTGTCATAAAATAACCTGTTCCTTTTCCACTCACCTTGAACTCTGAAGACCACATGATTCTTACTTCTTCTATAGTCGGCTTCTGAGTACCAAACACGACAGCCTGGCACTACCAATTTTGGAATTCTTTTGGAATCTGCTTTTTGACCAGGGCCCTAGTCCTCACCTGTCAAGCTAAGACACGAACTGAGAGTTGGAATTAAGAATTTGGGCTCTAAATTGAGTGTCTCTTGAGCCTTGCTGGTCTAGATGAGTCCTGCCAATCGTAGTTAACTCAAGCTGTGAATGACAGCATAGTGTCATGATTAGATGCACCAGCCTTGAGTCATGCCCACCTGAGTGGTAATCTGGCTCTGGAGCTTGCTATCTGGGTCATCTTGGGCAAACTGAAGCATTCTTGTCATCACTATCATTATCTCCTCAATTGGGATCATAAGAATACTTACCTCAGTGGGCTATTGTGAAGATTAAATGCAATGATGTAAGTTTAGTTCCTGACATAGCAAATGCCAGTAAGTAAGCAGCAGCTTCCAGGCTTTGTTGGTGTTGCTGTTTGTTCTGGGAATAAAGAAAAAGGCCCTTGTTCTCCTTTACCCTATTCAGATTATTGGATCAGGTTAGGTTATGGACTGGGGTGAGTAACAGGATGGAGGTATTATTTCTGTCCTGGGGAGAGTCTTGCTTCCCTGCATAAGGGAGCTAATCAGGATCCAGGAGATTCAAAGGGTATTTCATGACAAAATAGTTCCCAAAATGGCAGCAGTATGCAATGCTTCCGAAATGCCAATTTTCTTAAGACTGAATCATTACAAAACTGTCCTCCTGTCTCTGAGTCTAGGTGGAAAACAGTAGTTATTTTACTCTCTGAAAATAGTTTATAGCTCCTGGGCTTCTCCACACCCATACTCAGTACAATGTACTTAGTACTAAGTCCCATTTGCTTAGTACCAACCCTACACAGATGCAGTGACTCAGTCCTCACCTGATGGGCTTGCTGTAAGAGCTCCATTCTCTCCTGAAGAATCTGACAGTCATACTCTCTGCTCTTCCTCAGCATCTGCCGCCGTAACTTTTCTACTGCTGTCCTCAGCTCCTCTTGCTGTTTTTCACTTAACAATTCACCAAACTTGATAACAGTTTCTTGCTGCAGAGCATTGTACAAAGTAGCTTCTAGTTCCTGGATTCTCTGGCAAACAGAATTAGAAAAGTCTAACTTTGGAACTTAGCATTGATGTGTGGAATGTGAACAGAGACACTTGCGTGTATGGGGGAGGGGGGTCACGCACCACTGTAATCTTACAGGATCATAGCAATATGATAAACTTCAAAGCTTGTCCAGCATAACTACCATTTTGATAATCCCCTTTGTAAGATTCCCTAAATGTCATCGAGCTAACAATATGTGAACTTCTCTGGTGATGGGGAATTTATTCTTTTTCTTGGGATCTTGTCCATTTCATTTTGAGGAAGTCCTTACTTTGTTGTAAGAACTGTATATCCTTCTATTCCCAAATGTAGCTGAGAATTAATTTGGCCTCTCTTTCATTTGACAGCCCTTCAGACATTTAGACATCTATCATGGTGGCTGTACTTTTAGAAATAAGCATTGAAAAGTGACCTAAGTTGGAATACTTGAAACTAGAGATATATTTCATGTACAAAAGGCCACCTCTCTTCCACAGGACACACCTATGAACTTGAAGATGGCTGTACAGTCTCCACATCTTAAAATACAGATTGGGAGATATGATCTAAAAATGGCCTAGAGTCTTCAGAATTGGATTGTTTTTTAATACTCTGAGATTTATAGCTGCTTTAGCTATAAAATGCCTCCTTGGTCTTCTCTGTTTTAGATGAAGAGTCTACTGCTCCTTATATCCCAGTTATTTTTTTTTTAACATGCTTCAGAGATAGCAGCCCAAACCTACAATCTTACTCCCTGTGACTTTGACAGAGGTGGATGGTCATGCCTGGGTAAGGGGTGTTTTCCTAGCTCTTGCGCTGGACTAAGCAGATCTCTTCTTTTTAACATTAAATGTGGTTGTCTGAACAAGTACTCAGTCATGGTTCACACGAACACACAGATGAACCCTATCATGTGTAGGTGAAGAAGGCAAGGATAAAAGGGTAGGAAGGGGGGGGACAGGGCTTCCTTCTTGATTCTCCAGCGACCAACTCTCATTTTCTCCTTTCCCCATCAAATGGTGCTCAGAATCTCTTACTCATTTTGGAAGGGAAGACTAATTCATCTTTGTTACAAGCAGGGGCTAAGTGCTTCACTCTTACCCCCAAAGTGACTCAGGCTGCTTCCAGGAAAGCATTATAAAAACCTCTACTAACAACTCGAAATGTTCCTCTTTTAAGTTTGGTCTTTTTCTCTTAAGTTATTACTGTGAATTAATGGGGCGGGGGGGGGTGGGGCGTGCAGCATATGGAAAGAAGACAGGCAAGTCATAGTCCAATATTAGGAATTATGTATTATGAGTTTGGTATGGGGAATGAATCAAATGTGCTCCTCAGTCAGCACAGTGTTCTGTGGGAGAGAAAAAGGCACAGCCCATTTACCGAAGAGCCTTCCTTACTGTGGCTGGATTACGGTAGTGAAGGCCACAAGGTTTGGAGTCAGACCTGAGCACTACCTGCTTGCTTTGTCAGGCAGAGTTCTTTCACTCTCCAAGCCTTCATTCTCTCCTATACAATATAGGAATAATCAGATTACCTATACCTCTCAGGGTTGTTGGGAGAAATACGTGAAGTAAAAATGTACATAACAGACATTTTAAAGGCTCTATCATTCTACCACTACATTAGGCTCCCAAACCATTGGATTTTATTTAATAAAATTTCTCTTTAATCCACAGTACCATCCAATCTGTCCTTCATTAAAGCATTTTATAATAACATACACTTAATTTTTTTAAATGAAGCATAATTAAAAAGTTATTATAACAGGATTATTATTATAACAGGAAAGAGGTAGGGATGCATTTGTTCTAAAACCGGAACTAGAAACCACTGAATAAATGAGTTTTATGTCGTGGTCTATTCAAGCACTTGGCATGACAAATGAACCAGGATGCTTTACTCTGCAGTAGAGAATTGTGAACTCTCTGGGTGTCTTTAGTGCTTGCTGTACCTACCATATATGCTTGGTCGAGAGCTTGTTTTCTGTAGTCTAGTTCTTCCTCTAGATAGCCTTTTATTTTGCAGAATTGTTCCTATAAGAAGGGGGCCATAATGATAAATAGAAAGAGTCAATTGAGTTTACTAGCAAGTGATATATAAATTGTACTGATTAATGTTTTCTCGAATTCCACTGCAAGACAAGTCACTAGCATTTGTAGGGTCATAGATTTTGTCTGTTAGGGAAATAGTTCAACTTTAATAGCCTCACACAGGGAATGTGAAAATCAATGGAAAGAAGTATAAAAGATATAGTGACCAATCCACATGGAATGCTTTAAAGGATTTTTATGCCAATCCAAAAGTACATGGTTAAGGACAGATTTGATTTTGACAAGGTAAGTTAGTAACTAGTAAGTATATCTGTGCCAATATATTGGGAGAGTCTATTTTTGTAAGAATGTTTAGGAATGCACAGTGGTATAATAAAACAATTATTCAAAATTATCTGTGTACAACTAGCAAACACAAAGATGGATAATGATTTAGAGAATGGGGGTGTCACTTAATGAGAGCGCTTTGCTCCTGCCACAAAACCTGGACGAGCTGGGACTTCAACCTAAAGTTCCCACGCTTTTTTCAAGTTTTGTTTTTGTTTTCTTTTAAGGTAAACAGTTCTTGTCACATGCTTTGACTTTAGAGTCTAAACTTTTGGCAAAATAGAAACTCCGTGTAAAATATAAGCAAATGATGTGTGAGCTGTCACATACTATGTAAATACAAGTTGTTCTTATTATAGGATTCCCTAGCCTGATAGGAATCACTACCTGTTTTTTAGTAGTAATAATACTAATGACAGTACAGTTATAAAATTCTACGTATTCCCGTAAATTATAATCAACAATTCCTATGCTTGGGGATTTAAAAAAATTTTTAATTGCGGTAAAACACACACAACATAAATTTTACGCTCTTAACCGTTTTTAAGTGTACAGTTCAGTAGTGTTAAGGATATTTACATGGTTACGCAGCTAATCTCCGAAATGCTTTTTATTTCGCAAAGCTGAAACTATACCCCTTAAACAACAATGCCCCAATTTCTCTTCCTTTTAGCCCCTGACAGCCATCGTCCCTACTTTCTAGGAGTTTGACTACTCTGGATCCTTACGTAAGTGGAATCATCCAGTATTTGTCTTTTTGTGACTGGCTTATTTCACTTAGCATTATGCCCATGTTATATATGTTACAATTTCCTTCCTTTTAAAAGCTTGGATAATATTCATTGTATGTATAGACCACATTTTGCTATCCATTCATCCACTGATAGACATCTGGGTTGCTTCCACATTTAAGCTATGTGAATAATGCTGCTTTGAACACGGGTGTACAAATATCTTTTTGAGACCCTACCTTCAGTTATTTTGGGCATATACCCAAACGTGGTATTCCTGGATTGGATGGTAATTCCATTTTGAATTTTTTCAGCAACCACCATAGTATTTTCCTTAGCAGCCACACACCATTTCACATTCCTACCAGCAGTGCACAGGTTCCAATTTCTCCACATCCCCACCAACATCTAACTTCTGTTTTTTTGATAGTGGCCATCCTAATGAGCATGAGGTGGTTTGGAGATTTTTAAAATCAGAGTTACATTCATCATTTCTGTACTTTTTACTATGACTATATATGGTGGAAAAATTGTTTAGCCTAAGGAAAAAAACACCTAATTGAATTCTCTTCAGCATTAGTTTTAGAAATATTATAAAAAATACAACATATTTTTGAAGAATATAACTTGAACTTGTGGGATACTTCCAGGAATTTTGTTCCATAGTCTGTACACAAAATAATGGGAAGCTGCAAACTTCCATCAGTGCCAGATAAAACTGGTAGAAAATGGTTGTTTTCCATTTGCCTTGTCAAGTTTTCTTCATTTTTATGATACCTCTTCTTTGTACTCACCATGTCACTTTCCAGTTCCATCATTTTCTGGTGTAGGGCAGCCTCAGCTCCTTCAATTTGCTGGATCCACTAAGGAGTAAACAAGACAAAACAGTCTACATGATTGCTTGAGATGGTGTACACCGTGCAGTCTACTGAGTTGTTTTGTCTCTTCCTCTCATATCTTAGGAAGCAGATGAGGACTGAAGTGAAAACTTGGTGCATTTTATCTCTTAGTTCAGGAAATATCGTTTTTCATTCACTCATTCATTCATTCATTCATTCAGCAAATGCATTCCTTGACGCCTACCACGTGTCAGGCCCTGCACTAGATACTAGAGTTTTGATGGTGAGTAAGACCCACATGTTTTTTTGCCCTCATTACACAACACCAGAGGAGGCTTTCCTGGAAGTGACAACTGCAACTGAGTCTGATGAATTCGAGTCAGAGATGATTATGCAAAAATGACGGGAAGATTCCAAGCAGAAGAGACATCCAGTTCTCCATGGTTGGGGGAAACATGATGAAAGAAAGAAGGCCAGGTGAGACCGGAGAAATGGCAGTTTTTCAGTGTTTGAAACTGCCCACAGCTAAGTGTTGAAGAATCATTTTTGTTGAGTGGAGACATTTTAATCACATTAAAAAAACCTACCTTTCCTAACACTTAGAATATATCATCCTGTTACATGGCACTGAGGTTAACATTGATCAGCACCCTGAGTAAAATTAGATTTTGAATAATATGGCATGAGCTTACCACATATTTGGTTTAATAGAACAAATTATTATAATGGGTCTCTCCCAAGTTAAATGTAAGCTTATCCCTTAGGGAGGCAGCTGGGCATAATAATCGTGGGGGTTCTAAAGGCACATTACCTTGGGTCTAATCCCAATTCTAGCTTTTCATGGCTTGCTTATCTCATCTAAGCCTCGACCTCTTTTCCATGAAATAGGGTTAATAATTTGAAGATTAAAGGATGCAATTAAAGTTAGGCACTATTCACAGTGGATTGTATGTACAGGGTACCCAATAAATTCTAGTTTTTGGTTAACATTTATTTTTGTACTTCTACACTGTTAGAAGTTAACATTTATTTTGTACTTCTACACTGTTAGAAGTTTGAAAACTAAAAAAAAAAAAAAAAAGAAGTTTGAAAACTTGGTGCATTTTATCTCTTAGTTCAGGAAATATCGTTTTTCATTCACTCATTCATTCATTCATTCATTCAGCAAATGCATAGTTCAAACTAGAGAAATGTCTAGTCTCACTACTAGACATTTCTTTTTTAGTTTGTGATAAATTATGTGATGCACTGAGCATTTTTTCTATACGCAAAGGCCTTGACATTCACAAGGCGACACCATGTCCAACAGCCTCTTAGGGGAAAGAAGAAAGAAGAAATTCCCCGGGGAGACTGGAGGGGCTACTCCCTCAGTTCTTGTACACACCCGTGGTTTCCCCTTGAAGCAGATTTCCGTCAAAAGTCATGGGTAGGGCGCCTGGGTGGCTCAGTTGGTTAAGCGACTGCCTTCGGCTCAGGTCATGATCCTGGAGTCCCTGGATCGAGTCCCGCATCGGGCTCCCTGCTC